CACTCCTTCGCTTCGGGTTCAGACTCAGTGGAGAGGATGGGTCCAGACTGTCCTGAGCTTAAGAAACTGATACAAAAAGTGCAACAATATACAGAGAAATGTTCAGCCGCAAGCAGCGTTTTTAGAAAGATAACACAGTCAAATAAATGTGTATCAGTGTCGGGACTGTGCATGTGGAACAGGTTGTTAAGTACTTTTGTAGTTCTTGTGCGTCTATTTGTGGATCTTTTGGTCAACATTTGTGTCTTTGTGCTCTTTTGAACGATTTTTGCCACTTCTCAGTATGTTTGCATGTTATTTTTTCTCTCTTTTTGCTCATTTTGTGTCCATTTCATTGCTGTTTTCTTGTAGTTTTTTGTGTCTCGTAGCAATTGTTTTGGTGTTTTTGTATATTTTCTTGTCTCAGGTTCTTTGTAGTCATTTTTGAACTATTTGTATTCTTTATTTTCACTTCCAATTGAAATTATCTGTCGCTTCGCCAATTTTTTTTATTGTACATCACATAAAGACATCGATTGTGATTAACTGAGCACACTATCGGTGATCTGGGAAACATGCAGCTGTTAGCCATTTGTTTAAAAGCAGCTTCGACGTCAGAAACAATCCCCTGATCACATCATCTGTTGAAGTATCGACGCTCTGATGTTTAATGGATGAACCATCCAAAGGTCTTTAGAGGGACCGACGCTGCGCCGGCCTTGCAGAGGTCAGCGTTGTTTGGTTTTTCACATGTCACTGTTTACTCTCCGGGTTCGAGTTATGTGGGAGCCAATGGGAACTGAGCTCCCACGGACGCAGTGAAATCATACATCTGTGGGGGTCGCCAATACATTACCAATACCAACAACCATTATTTTAATCACAAATAATGCATGTGTCAATGTAATGAGTATTATTTAAGTTAACGAGGTAAATAGGCTAAAAGAAAAACATGTTTTCCAAAAGAACTACGCATCTCTTGAATGACAATATGCCTGCGCTGCACCTCCAAGGTGCGCAATATTGCGCAATCTATGCCTGTGAGCGTGCTGCGCGAGCCGAGATGATGTGTGTGTGCGTAGTTGAACCTTTTCATATTTAAGTTTGTAGCAAGTAGAGGGCTGCTGCTGTGTGTGTGTGTTTGAGTGTGTGTGCGTGTTTTAAAGACCCCCAGAACTCAGTTTATAACTCGAACCCTGCCCTCAGAAAGCGACACCGAGGTCATTACCTTGTGGACGTACACTTTATAAACACACGGGTCAAATCTGAAAGATAAAACAATACAACAATGTGTTAATGTTTAAGGGGGGTTTTATGCATCATTCAGGCGAAGTCTACGGCTCTTCCTTGGAAAGTGTGCAGAACAGATGTGATTCATTGAGGGTTTGATCTGTTGCAATATTCCTAAACTGTGAGTTACAAACAGCTGTGCCACATGATTTTGTTCAGGAAAAATAAGTGAAGGTTGAGGGATTTGAGGAGGAGCAGCAGAGGTGAAGGGCCTGTGTGTCAGAGCTTATCAAAGAAGCAACAGAATAATGTTTATCCAAGCATTCTCTGAGCACACAAAACTCACCACAGCTCAGTCTTTGTAAAACATGCATTAAGTCATTTTATCTCAAGGGATTAAGCTTTTTTAAAAGCATGTTCTGATACGTTTACACAGTGTGAAGAAACGAAGACGACATCAAATGTATCGAGGGTTTAAAAAAACATTTATTGTTATTTCCACGTACATTTTTTGTAGAGGCATCATTCACAAAATAGGAACAGAAAAATTAATCAGACAAGAAAAATATATGTAGTCTTTTTCTTACATTATCAATATATATATACACACACGTTGTAAAATAGGTTGTAACAAAAAGTAAAACCAAAGTGTAGCAGTAAGCGATGGCCACATCTGCAAAGTGAATACAGATGCAAAGAGTTTACAGTCTGACAAACACATCAGATCCTTCTTCTGTTTTCACAGCTGTTTTATGGCTTCATTTATAAAGTCGATACAGAACAGAGTAAAGCTAAACAAACATGAGTAATAATTGAAAAACACCCTAATCGTTTTAACTCCCCGTGGTGAAACACACACGTTAGACGCCATGCTGTCGAGCATCAGTCAGGCGTTATCGTACACAGACATGTAAAAATCTCTGCAGAGAAGCAATATTACAAAAAAACACTCAATTTAGCATTACAAAACACACACACACACACACACACACACACACACACACACACACACACACACACACACACACACACACTTTAGTCTCGAGGCCAAACAGCCCAGAGAAGAGAGGCCATTTGTAAAACAGCAAGACGATTAATGGTCCGAATCAGGCGCCGGAAGCCTTTACACTTTTAACTTTAGAAAAGATTCACCTTTAGTTGAACCGTTATCTCACTTGAATTGACATCACAGTGTGATTCTGATGCTTAACCACAAGGAGCGTAACACACACAGTAACAAAGTCCAGAACCGCAAGGATTAGTAGGAACGTAATAGGCAATTTCTTCATAAAAAATTCATTTTCTTGTTATTTTTTCATGCAAAAAATGGCAGAAAACGCTCTTTTTCAGCCTATCGAATTAGCGATTTGCTGCTTTTCTAATTGAAATCATATTGAAGTTAATATCTTTGGGTTTTGGACCAACACAAGACATCACCTTGCATTTTTTAGAAACTGGGATAGACATTTTTCACTATTCTCAGAAATGTCAGCGATAAATACAAAATAATAATCAGCATATATTGATAATTAAAATACTCGTTAGTGGCAGCCTTACACATGTCCTCCGATAACCAATGTATTAAGTCATTATAAATACACTCAAAAAGGTCAAATGTGATTTTCATTTTCAGCATTAAGGTAAACAAAGTGTAGAAGGCTGTTTTTAACACTCCAATATTCAATTAAACTGTCCACCTGTGGTACATTCAGCACAATGATCACCAAGACACACACCGCACAACACCATAAGTCACTCTACACCAGGGGTGTCAAACTCAAGGCCCGGGGGCCAAATCCGGCCCGTGACCTCATTTTCTGTGGCCCCACAAGAGCTTGCAAAGAATATAATATGTTTATTATACGGTTACATGCTGATTTACAGAAGCACGTTGCCCATAAACTACATGTCCCGTAATGCATCTCAAATTAGACTTTTTTTTCTCAGAATTTGACTTTTTTTCTTCTAAATATGCCTTTTTTCTTAGAATTTGACTTTTTTTTTTTAAATGTCACTTTATTTTTAAATGTCACTTCTATTTTTTTTAAATGTCACTTCTGTTTTTTTTAAATGTCACTTCTGTTTTTGACTTTTTTTCCAGATTTTCTTTTAAAAACCATTTTGTGACATTCTCACTGAAGAGACTTGCAATTATTTGCCCCAGACTTCTGCTTTCAGACGTAGTTAATTATGAAGTTATTACCCTCTCAGATAATAATCCAATGCAGAGGCAATAATGTAATATAATACATTATTTAATATATATATTTATATATAAGTTACAACTGGCCCTTTGAGTGCAGCCATAATACTGATGTGGCCCGCGATTAAATTGAGTTTGACACCCCTGCTCTACACGATAGAAACAGCTGTAAACATCACCAGCTGTGATCAGATGGACATCAGAAATCTGCTGCTCCCTCTAATGGGCATTAAAAAGTTGCATATAAATAATAATAATAATAATAATATTCCTTAGACGCAACTCAATCCTGAACACTTGTTATTTGGTTAAACTGACAATCTTCAGCAGGTATTCACATGTGCATGAAATGTACAGATGTTTTTTAGACCCTCAGACCCACTCCAGATGTTCAACACTGACACCAGATGTTTTTCTCACTCAATGCAAGGTGAGAAGAAGCTTTAGTCGACGCCTTTTTCACATCAGATCATGGGGGTCAGTTCAAATGAGATCTGGAGTTATGACAGGAAATGAATGCATATTAACCGCATTAAATATCTAATTCTGGAGAAATTGAAAGTGAACTGAGCTCAGATGTTGTGTCGCCACCTGCTGGTCAGAACTGATACTGCAACCATGACCCACTGCAGGCAGGAGGGACACACACACTTTGTATAAAATGTACTGCAACTACTGATAAATACAATTAGGTTGTGATAAAGCTAGAGCGATGTTGTAAACACTTCAGGTTCAGAGGTCAGAGCAGGTCAGCCCTTATTTGGCAAAGAGTGTTGGAGTCTAAAGGCTGAAGACAGGCTGCAGAATCACTGATCGGCATGAGATATATTCTAACATATGACTCTAAAACAATGGGTAGCTGCTTTCAAATGCATCTCCCAGGCAAGCAGCACGTTTTAAAGGAATACTCCACCCCAAAATGACCATTTGTGGATCAATAACTCACCCTAAGTTACATTAAATACTTGAGGATTCTTAAAAAATACAAGAAAAACTCTTGATGAATTAGAAAGATAACACATGCATTTTCACTAAAACTGGCATGCTATTCGTCTAAAGTGTTCCAAATGCTAACGTTTTAATTAAAAACATGTAGTAAGTGTTTGAGGATATGACTGGATGAGTTAGACTTAGTTTAAACTGTGTTGAAGTTCATAAACGGATATTTGAAGTAGTTTTGCCGCGGTTTAATGTGTCTGTTTCCCTGTGGTAACTTGTGTGAGATGTAAGGTGGGAAGTATTCCTTTTTGCAAAAACACATTAAGCTGATTATTTAAAGGTGGGGTAGGTAAGTTTGAGAAACCGGCTCGAGATACACTTTTTGTTATATTCCATGGAATGCTCTTAACATCCAGATAGCAATGAATATCTTAAGTGCTTTGACAAAAAATCCATCTGTGGAAGCCGTAGTACTGTAAAAAGCACGACCAATCATCTGAGCCGGCCCGGCTAAAATAACTGGATGGCCTACCTGCCTGTCAGCCTTCCATCTGTGCACAAACTTATCTCGTGCCCTCATTGGTCATGTGCGCGTTCGTGTGTGTTGGAGGAGGGGCTCTGTAAGGAAGTGGCACATTTTTTCCGGTTGTGTATTTTCAAATTCTAGCGCACTCGAGCTGGTTTCTCCAAATGTACCTACCCCACCTTTAAGATGCGGTTATTTGTTTAAAAAAAAAAAAAGACTGTTACACACAAACAATAACTCACATGAACATCCAACATCCGTAATACCTGGGATGCTTTTTGGACATGGTTTTAAAAAAAGAAAAAGGAAGCAGCACGTCGTTGTTAGATAATCTACAAAGTGCAAATGCGCCACCTTGTGCTCTCATTTCCAAATCCCTCAGTCTGAGTTCCTCCGTGAAACATCCATCTCAGGAAAGTTGTAGACCATAAATCCAACATTATGAGTTAAAAATAAAAAAGGCAAAGAAAATCTGTCACACAGGTCAACTGATGCATCTCCGTGGGATGTACTGCCTTTTCTAAAAAAAAAACTCGAAACATGTTCAAAACACTCCAGCTGTCCCTCCGCTCGTCCGCACTGCAGCTTTGTGCCGACGAAATTAAGCTTTTGGCACAAAAAAGTTTTAAAAAAGAAGCTCATATTCCTTCCGTCTCATCAATAAATGCTCAACACAAAATGAGTAAATAACACAAGGTATATGTATATAGCTGAATGTGTGTGTGTGGGCGTGTGTGTGTGTGTGTGTGTGTGTGTGTGTGTGTGTGTGTGTGTGTGTGTGTGTGTGTGAGGGATCAATCCTGTCCTCCAGGGGTAGGTAGGTGTGAGATTAGCATGCGGAAAAATGCCAATGCCGTAGAATAGATGCTTCACAGTTGGGTGAAAATGATGCATCTCCATGGTTACTGTATGGTGTGTGGATGCGGTTGCTCTGGGAGACCGTTGCCATGTAGACAATCTGAACTGTTGCGTTGCTTAAGGCATCGAATTAGGATGACCGAGGATGCTCTCCTGTGGAAACAAGACGCAGAGGATGAGGGAAGAAAGTCCGATTTGTACCGAATCTACAGCCTGAAGAAGTGTTTCTCACCTCGTTAGGACTCGCTCTCGATGGAGATTGAGATGGTTTCACTTTCAGCTGAGGAGACAAACAGAACACATGTTAAAAAGAAAAACCCAAATCATATTTTCCAATGTTTTTCTGTCTAATGGGGACAACCATTTTGAGAGCTGCAGACAAAAGCCACTAAACAGGCCGTTCTGCATTATTAATGTTCAATAAATAATGTTTCCTACCTTTTTGATCCGCTCTGTTATTGTGTCTAGTCAAAACTGACATTTTGTGAGAGGGTTAAACCTCATCCATTGTGTCAAAATCAGCTAAATATCTAGCCCTGATATTGTAGATCCTCAAAAATACACTTTGGTACACTTTCTTAACTTCAAAACAACAAACTTGTAGTCACATTTCCACTTGTGTCTTCCGGCAACAAGTCACATGACCCAATAAAAGAGAGGGCGGATCAGTTACATAAAAACATTTCATTTCTCCGTAGCCATGACGTTGTAAGACACTTATAATAACAATCTCGGTAGCGGTAAAAACAAAACGTAAAATGGACATTCACTGCAGCACCTGAAGGATTATGTTGCATTTTGTTAAGCGTCTGCAAAGCTCACTACTGGGGCAATCTCAAAAAAGGTTGTCTCATTAGTCATTTAGACAAAAGACATGGGGCAATAGGTTGAAACACATGTACCCTGAAAGTCTGAGTTATTAAAGGTTATTCTCCCAGTGGAGCTCACCTGGTGTGTGTGTGTTGTTCTCCTGATGCTCTGCGACGTTGTTGGCGTTCTGCTCGCTGCTCAGGAGGCGGTTCTGAGACTCGCTCACAGGACTCTCAGGGACTTCAACAGCACTGCAAACACATACAAAATCATAAATTAAAAAACATGGAATGAAGTGTGCATCCACAACCAAAAGCATAACTTTGTTTGTCTTTGTACTGTTTCTGGTTTTATGTAAAGCGTCTTTGAGCACCAGGAAAAGCGCTATAAAAATTAAATGTATTATTAAGATAAGATACAATAAACACAGCAGCACAATAATAATAAAACTGTACACTAACAGTGCAGTACACAGAGCAATTCAATAACTACAGGAAACATAGACGGTTAGTATTTAGTAGTGGTAGTTACGTAATTGCACGTTATATTATTATTACTATAACTACTTTTCAGTGCCTTGTGTTGAATTGTATCTCTTATATCTCACCTCTTGCTGGGCTCCTGCTGCAGGGTGACGGTGGCCTGCTGCTCCACGTCAGCGCTCACCAGCCGGGTGGGGAACGTCAGCCCGTCTCCCTGACTGAGGTGGGGGGGGGTTCAAAGTGAAAACAGTCAGCACAGATAGAAAACTGCAGCAAACGTAACAAGATATTCTATAGGACACGACTCCCTCGATGGCATAAAAACATCTGATATTGTATTATCCTGGCCAGCGTGATTGCTATTCAAAATATCATCCTGATAATGTGGACCTAAAACATGCTGAAGTCACTTTACCTAGCATTTTGGTAAGAATCTAACAGTTTAATTGCATCAGATAGGACATTTATTCTAAATAAACATCTCTTTTAAGTAAACATACTTATGAGGTAGTCAGAAATCATGAGTTTTTCTGGTCATAAAAGATAGAAACATTGCGTATATTACATGTTTTCTTACATGATGATAACTTAAATGAAGCTTATCACGATTATCCCAATATCGGAAAATTCCCCATGTTCCTTACTCCGAGTGTCGTGATCCTTGATCAAAAAACATGACATCCAATCCCTAAAAAGCCTGTTTATCTTCTGTGATTGTTTCATAATGTGTCCCCTCTACCTGGTGCAGACGGGCAGCAGCCAGAACTTCTTCTGGTCTCCAAACACCTGAGCAATATTCTTCCGGAAACCCAGAGAGAAGCCGTTCTTATCGGAGCCGGCCCTGAACACCGGGGCTCTGAACGCCTCTGAGGAGAGGAGAGAAACACAAGGACAAGCACATTTTAGAAGTACAACACTGCTCAAAAGTAAAAGCAACACAAAGTAGTAATTGTGTTTTTGATTTGGTTAAATAACTGTAAGACATTGAATTTGAATGTGTATATGTATGTATGTATGTATGTATGTATGTATGTGTGTGTGTGTGTGTGTCAAGTCAAAAAGTCAACTTCAATGAGAATGTACTTTGAAGTGACTGTTATTTTTGTATATATTGATTGTTGTGCATTTGTGTGTGTGTGTGTGTGTGTGTGTGTGTGTGTGTGTGTGTGTGTGTGTGTGTGTGTGTGTGTGTGTGTGTTACCTATAGTGGATCTGTTCTTCCCTACGAGCCACAGGTGGTAGCTGAAGAGAGACAGAATGCTGATGCAGAACATGGCCGCCACAAAAAAGAGAAACAAGACATGGAATTTGGCGTGAGTGTCTTTCAGCTCATTCTGGGGGGGGAGAGAGGGGAGACAAGGGAGACAGGAATTAGTATTCACATGGAGGATATGTATGGAAAGAACGATATAGGAGAGAGAAAGTAGAAAAGAGAGGAAAGGACCACGTCACACCACGACAGAGGTTACCTTTGGGCAGTTCTCTACCGATTTCCTCCGGCAAAGCTTTAGTACAAACAGAAACAGACTGGTTAGAGAAAAGGGAGAAGGAGGGGGAGACACTCGGGAATACCATCAAGGGTAAAGGGTGAGTATGGAACCAGATTTGTGAATCAAAAAACTTGTTAAAAATCAGAATTCAAGAGAAAATAAAACTCATCTCCAAAGTGAAACTGGAAAGAAATCATTTGTGTAATGTATTTTTATAACACATCTTAGATCTTGACAACAAGAACAATAGTTTACTGACACTGAAGTTTTGCTTGATCTTATCAGCACACATCTGACTCCATGGGAGAAACATGAAATAAAGAGAGTGGGTTTTACAAAGTGAGCGCAGATCAAAAGGGAGGACAGAGGAGGAGATGAGAGGAACGTGAGGGTGAGAACAAGAGGAGGTGTTTGTGAGTGATGTGGAGACAGAAAGACAGCCACCTCAGAACAAAGAGTCAGGGTGGAGGACAGAGGAGAGGTCAGGGGTCGAGAGAGGGAACATTAGAGGTCAGGGGTCACAGAGGAAACAGAGAAACACCATGCACTCGCCTAGCTTTCACACAAAGATGCACAACTAGACGTTTTTTATTCTGCTGATTTTCGTTCTCATGCTAGTCTGACCAGCCAGTTTTCAAATATCTGCACTGCCAGCCAGGATTTTATCGCTTTTATGAATTGTCTTTTTGTTTGTGTGTTTGTTTTAAAGCACTTTGAATTGCCTCTGAGTCTTAAAATGTGCTATACAAATAAACTAACCTTGAACCTTTCATTCTGAGAACTAAAACTCAGGGACACATTTCTATAGCATTCATTTAAAGGCTAAACAACTAATACATGTTTGTATTAAAATCTCAATATAGTGCATTGTCCTAATCGCAGTAAGGCAAAAGGTGTCTATATATCTGAATGAAGTTGTGCAGATAGTATTTGACAGACTTCAATCTAATGTGGGTTGTTCTTAGATGGCATATGTTGGACTTAAAGTTATTAAAAGTAGCTTGATGTCTTCTTTACTCGCGCTGAAGAACACACACATCAACCTGCATGTTGTGTGTGTGTCTGAGAAGTTACTGTGTGTGTGTGTAATGTAATCATGTGATATTGGTCCTGGATGATCAGCTGGTTTGAACCGCTACATCTCTTTTTGTCATGCAGCTGAACATGCTGAACATGACACACACACACACACACACACACACACACACACACACACACACACACACACACACACACACACACACACACCACCCACACACAACACACACACACAATCACACTACACACCAACACACACACACACAACTACCACACACACACACACATACAACAACCAACACACACACACACCCACACACACAACCCACCACAACATCCCACACACACACACACACACACACACACACACCACACACACACACACACACACACACCACACACACACACACACACACACACACAACACACACACACACACACACACACACCACACACACACACACACCACACCACACACACACACACACACACACACACCCACACACACACACACACACACACACACACACGTCATCACTCACTGTCCAGAACTTTATGAAATACTGAAGCACGGTGGCTGCGATGAACAAACAGTACAGCAGCGAGTAAGCCAGGAAGAGGATGAAAAACTTGTAGTTGGAGAATCCGACACAGTTGTTCACCCTGCAGAGAAACACACAGAAGGTCAGGTGTGACATCACTTCCTGTGAGGAGAGGTCTTATCAAGATGAACTTCATTAAAAGAGGCTTCGTGGTCCTCTAATGATTACACCTCAGTAAAACATATTTGGTTAATCAAGGCATGAGAACAAGAACCATGTTTTTAAGTTTGACACATTTGGTACGTGAACATTGATAATTACAGAGACTTTTTAACATGTGCATTACTTCCTGGAGAGTATATCTTAAAAACACTCATTCATATGGATAACAAAGTAGTCTTTGAACAGCTTTGTCATGCTGCAATATGAGAAAATAGTTGAGTTTAAACAAAATCAGTATTTCCATTAACCATAAGGTCTCTTGTTGAGTGTGTGATGCTCTGCTCTTATAGTATGAAGAACTACTGGCAGATTAAACCAACTCCTAAGAGGGATTCACATTAAACAGCTTGACTGTAAATATGTTTGGTAAAAGGTTTGAACCATCCTAAAATGTGAGACAGCAGCTCACTTACCAGGGACAATGGTGGTCCATCTTCAGCACACACCTGCCACACAGCAAGAGAAGACATATCGACAATGAAGGGGTGAGAGTCAATCAGAATGAATACATATCTTGTTTTAAAGATAATAAGGTTTTCTTACATGTCGCAGGCGGAGCAGTGGTGGCAGCGGTCAGGTTTGATGACTTGACAGCGGTCACAGTAACGGATTGCTGCAACAACAGGATGTCGTTATGGGAAAACTCAAGAGATGCAAATTCACTCACACTCTTATAAACATACACTTGCACCAGAGATGGCAAAAGTACACACATCCTTTACTAAAGTAGAAGTACAGATACTTGAGTTTAAAAATACTGACTAAACTTCTTCACTCAAGTAAAAGCATGGGCTTTGAAATGTACTTAAGTAAAAAGTACCCATAACTAGCAGCTGTTTTAAAGAGTACCTGACCTCCCTTTATATTAATAGAACAATAATGTCATTGTTAGCTAATGAATGTTTCCATGCTGAACAACGGCAACATGACAACGTTTTCATTGGTCCCTCTTCTTTAGAGAAGACCAGGAAATGATGGATACACGGATCGTGTTCAAATCAATAGGCACGGAGTAGAAAGTACAGGTATTTGTATTCAAAATCTAAGAAGTAGAAAGTACAGGTATTTGTGGTCAACATGTAAGAAGTAGAAAGTACAGGTATTTGGGTTCAACATGTAAGAAGTAGAAAGTACAGGTATTTGTGTTCAAAATGTAAGAAGTAGAAAGTACAGGTATTTGTGTTCAACATGTAAGAAGTAGAAAGTACAGGTATTTGAGTTCAACATGTAAGAAGTAGAAAGTACAGGTATTTGAGTTCAACATGTAAGAAGTCAAAGTAAAAAGTCGTCAGAAAAATAAGTAGTGGAGCAGAGTACTGATACCAGAAAAATGTACTTAAGTACAGTAACGAAGTATTTGTACTCCACTACTGTTGGGGAAATATTTTCTTCTCAATTGACACACACACACACACACTCACACACACCTCCAGCTCCTGTGCGGGTGTACAGAGGCAGACTAGTGGCAGCTCTCCATAAAATCTCCTGCTGATTCTCCGGCCTCTCCTCCTTCTCGTATCGCTCCTTCTCCACTTTGGGCAAACAGAACTGCAGTCATAAAAAAAAATTAAAAAGCAGATTTTAATGTGAGCAGGGTAAAACTGCAATTCAGGATTGTGATTCTAGATTATTTAATTGATCATTTTGTGGAAAAACTGCCTTTAGGATGGTATTTTGAGACATATTGCACCGTATTTACACTGTAGTTCAAATTAGGGCTGCAATTTTCAATAGCCCGATTACCAAAATAGTCTGTGATAACATTTTAGACAATCAACTAATCAGCACAGCTTTAAAAACTGAGGATTTTCAGATACAAATAAAGATATTTACTTAAGAAAAGCAGAACATTTACATATTAAAGAGGCTGGTTGTGGATATTCAGGGCTTGTGTACCTCTTTGGAGGGGTTCGCAGGCTGGATGAAGATGGTCTTCCAGTACGACCATACGAACATGATGAAGAAGAGGTGGAAGAAGATCATGTAGACAACTGCAGGGAAACCACACGTCAGCACCAACAAGATAGACAAGGCAAATAGATATGTTTTTAGTCTGGATTTGAAAATAGGAAGTGTTTCAGCGGACGTGCACGATTCGGGCAGTTTGTTCCAGATTGTCGGGGCATAATAGCTAAACGCTGCTTTTCCATGTTTAGTTCTTATTCTCGGAACAGAGAGCAGACCCGACCCAGAGGACCGGAGACTCTGGGATGGTTCATAGTTATGCAGGATATCGTTTATATACCTCGGTCCTAAGCCATTGAGTGATTTAAAAAACTAGCAATAGTATTTTAAAATAAATTATTTGGCCGACTGGAAGCCAGTGTAAAGACTTCAGAACCGGACTGATCCACTCTTCTAGTGTCAGTGAGGACTCAGCTGCAGCTTTCTGAATCAGCTGCAGCTTTCTGATGGATTTTTTTGTGAGCCCTGTGAAGACACTATTGCAGTAGTCGAGTCTACTGAAGATAAAAGCATGGACACGTTTTTCTAAATCCTGCTGTGACATTAGTTTTGTAATCCTAGATATGTGAACAAAGATAGTCACACAGAACAATTTGAAGCTTTGTTTATAACGTTGTCATTCAAATTCTGACTCAACATTTGAATGCTGTGCAGCTACTTCTTCTTAAAAAGATGTTTGCATGTCTATTGCACAGTTGCAGATATAGATGAGGCTACCCCTATAAGTAGAATAGATGTTTTAATTAAAATAATTCACAACACGCGTTTATCGAACTAAATATTCAGCTTTCTCCATATTTGTTCGAGAGTAGCCTTTAACCGTTAGCCCTTCTTGAGGCACACAAAGGGAGGTACTGATATAGCATTTATATAACAAATACATCTATTTACCGGTGAGTTATATTCATTAAAGCACCGTGGAATTCATTTTAAAACAAAGGGGCACACCTGTTTTAACTTCCAGCGTCTTATATTACATTTAGGCTACCATAATAACTTTTTGTTTTATGGTAACACTTTCTATTAAGGTACACTTATTCACCATCAACTAGTTGTTCATTAACATATTAGAGGCAAACTACTAGCTTATTGGTTATGAACAAGACGTCACTTTAACATAATTCTGAGTTACAAATACCACATTTTGAGTTATTTTGAAATAAATAAAACTTATCGTTTCATGTCTTGTTACATAAGAATAGATTTGTTAAGTGTTATTATGGGAGAATTACTATTCTTGTGGTACTACTGCCTTATTAGGCCCATATTGAACATATTAAGACCCAAACTCATGTAAACAACTTCCTTACTTGCAACAAATAAGCACTAATTAGAGGGTTATTAAGGAAAAACTAATGGCTTATTACTCTTAGAATATGGTCATGTAGAATAAGGCATTAATAAGTGTTTTATAATGACTAATAAAGAGCCAATATACTGCTAATATGCATGTTAATTAACAACTAGTTGATGGTGAATTTGTGTACCTTAATATAAAGTGTTACCGTTTTTATTTACTGGCAGGTTGTATTCATAAAAAAAGACTGACTTGGTCAATGCAATGAATCACTCTTTAAAAAAACTATATGAGAACAGCTTCCTAAGAAAACCTCAAAAAATAAATCTTTGAGTACAGCCCATGCATTAGCATTAAAACACATTAGCATTAAAACGTGAATGTAAGGGCCTGCTGCTGTCACTTTGGATTTGTGGAGCCGCTGTACGTCTACATATTAAATTCACGAGCTGAGAGACGCTTCCTGAGCCTTTCTGTTGTTGGCAAAGTGTACAGAACATATTTCACCTGCCAGGCACGGAAAAGAGAGCAAACCCACTCCATTCTGTAAAACTCCATTCAGTGTTATATAAACATTATTTGTAAATGAACAGCACACTTACTCTTCTCTCCTATACTGATGATGGTGTCTGTAAGAGATAGAACAAAGCATTACATAAAAAGACATTGTGTAAAAGTAGAAGTACTGACTAAACTTCTTTACTCAAGTGAAAGTAAAGAACTTTGAAATGTACTTCAGTAAAAAGTACCCATAACTAGCAGCTGTTTTAAAGAGTACCTGACCTCCCTTTATATTAATAGAACAATGATGTCATTGTTAGCTAATGAATGTTTCCATGCTGAACAACGGCAACATGACAACGTTTTCATTGGTCCCTCTTCTTTAGAGAAGACCAGGAAATGATGGATACACGGATCCAAACGCCACCAAACACCAGGGACGTGCACAGGTACGGCTATTGTTGCCCAGGCAACGGCCCGTTTTCCCTTTTTGGCTGACCTGCCCCTCTGGAGAGAGCGAGAGGTTTTTTTTTTCTTTCTGTTGTGGTCGAATCAACATGATAAGCCCACAATTAGTATTGTAGTGTCTCGCTGCGGGAAACACACCAGCTTCATTCTTCTTCTACTACTTATTTTACTTCTTCTTCTTCTCCTTCTTCTGACATGTAATTGTCCGCGAAATGTTGAATGAAGAACTCGTTTCAGTGTGAACTCATTCCACAGTTTGACCACAAAAGTGTTTTAAACCAGGTAGGCCTACGTTTTTATTATTTATGTTCTGTATCGCTAAGTGTGTGATTACACATGTTACGTATTATATATATAATATTTATTATAGGCTACTGTATTGGTGCCGGTGCGTTAAGACCACCTCTAGTGTCGGATTTTGGAAAATGAATTTTGAGTTTTGTCATGGCAGGGACTTTACTTCCTCTTGACACCGTCGGTTATTTACAAAAAAAACACCTAAATATACTTGGTATTGTGCTTCTGTCTTTCTGTGTCTTTTCATCTACTCCGTAAACTCCTATTAAACACCCATGGTAAACTCCCTCAACGCGCCGCTCGCTCTCTTCTCTTGATCGCCCTCTCACGGGTGAACAGTTCACTGCCCGCTTCATTGTAGGATTTCTGCCATGCCTCTACTTTCATTTGACCATCTCTGTTATTAAGTTATGGAATACTAAATAAATAAGTAATTAGATACCTTACCGTTACTGCGCTCATAAAGAATGATAAGAATAAGAATAATGCGTATTGGAATGGTTTCATTAATTAGTGAGTTTATTAAAGGCAATTATAGAAGCCCTGTTTTATCAGTATGTCTGCACAGCAGTTACAAAGGTCAAACTACATTGAATTGTCCCCACTTCTTCTTTAATAGTTACTAACATTAGATATTTTAATGAGATATGGACCGCAAAACAAAAAATGTCCCTGGTTTTCATTTAAAAAATCAAGTCACTGAATGCAAGTAGTTGCCTTAGCTTATTTTGTTATGAGATGATAATGTGAATTACTGTTCGAATTAGTTCATGTAATAATCGTTTTGGTCTTATATTTTTTTTCGGGGGGGAGGCGCCTTTTTCCAGTTTAGATCAATAGCCCCTCCAAATGTCTGTGCACGTCCCTGCCAAACACACATTCAAACTAAAGTAACCAGCCTGTTTGGAAAATGTAAGAAGTAGAAAGTACAGGTATTTGTGTTTAAAATGTAAGAAGTAGAAAGTACAGGTATTTGTGTTCAAATGTAAGAAGTAGAAAGTACAGGTATTTGTGTTCAACATGTAAGAAGTAGAAAGTACAGGTATTTGTGTTCAAAATGTAAGAAGTAGAAAGTACAGGTATTTGTGTTCAAAATGTAAGAAGTAGAAAGTACAGGTATTTGGGTTCAACATGTAAGAAGTAGAAAGTTCAGGTATTTGTGTTCAACATGTAAGAAGTAGAAAGTACAGGTATTTGTGTTCAACATGTAAGAAGTAGAAAGTACAGGTATTTGTGTTCAACATGTAAGAAGTAGAAAGTACAGGTATTTGTGTTCAACATGTAAGAAGTAGAAAGTTCAGGTATTTTTGTTCAAAATGTAAGAAGTAGAAAGTTCAGGTATTTGTGTTCAAAATGTAAGAAGTAGAAAGTTCAGGTATTTGTGTTCAAAATGTAAGAAGTCAAAATAAAAAGTCGTCAGAAAAATAAGTAGTGGAGTAAAGTACTGATACCAGAAACATGTACTTAAGTAGAGTAAGAGATAAAACAAAGCATTAGATAAAAATACATTGTTTAAAAGTGAGTTATTATAGCAACATCTTTACATTTGACATCAGTCAGTAGGATTTAGACGTACAGCATTCAGTTAATTTAAACTCTCATCCAGCGGTTAACAATTATGGGGTTGCAAGATGTATTGATAATAAGTCACAAAATGCTTAAAAAGGATAGGAATAGAGGAAAAAATTACATTTCTACACAACATTGTGCCTGTATTGAACAATTGTTCCTGTATTGACAAAACAATCCCACCCCTTTCTGTCCACACAACCTTTGACCTGACTTCTCTAAACACTTCCATTTATCAAAGCACTTCAATGACATCATGTGTAATTGTTTTATAATACCGTTTCCTCTATCAAGAATGAAATTGCAGTCTCAGATTTCTGGACTGAATTGATATATTCAGGCTTATTATTTGTAGTTTTAAAGTCCCCTCGTAGGTGGTTAAAGTCATTATTGGGGTTAAAGTCATTATTGGGGTTAAAGTCCCCTACGTGTGCCGTTTTGGTTTCAAGACCCTGGTTCGCGGAGGACACCAAAAAAGTCCTAGAAAATGAAACTTAACTAATGTGCATTTAAAGAAAAGAGGAATAGTTTTGGCGAAAACTAAAAAGGTACAATGGGGTATAGGAATCCGTTTTGTTTCAAGACCCTGGTTCACGGAGGATACCAAAAAAGTCCTAGAAAGACAAGGTAAACTTAACTATGTGCATTTAAAAATAAAAAAGAGGAATAGTATTGGCGGAAACTAAAAGGTACCATGGGGTCAGATTAGAATTTTCCAAAGGGGGGTTCGTTTAGCATGAAACACTTGAAATAACTGAAGGATAAGTTAAACAAGAAAGTTGAAAGAAAGTGAAGTCATTACTGCTAAAAAGTGAGCAATGACTGAGAGTCAGTGCTAAACATTTCAGATGAGTGTATCTCACACTGCTCTGTCACTTTTATTCATGTTCCTTTGTTATTCATGTTTCATTATCTTTGCTTTTAAATGAGTGTTTTTTAAATGTCATTTCATAATATGTTTCTTAATGTCTTTCATTTTTGTAAAGCACTTTGAATAAACAATAGGACTCACTAATCTAGTCTCGCCTGACACCAAATCCGAATGGTATTGTAACTCATTTAAAATAGAAAATTGTACAGAAATACACTCAAAACGTACATATATAAACAAATCAAAGTGTGTGTGAGGGTCAGGAAGTGTATTTGACTGCCAGCGCAGTTTAAATATAGACGACAACCTTCATTAAAACAAGATGAACTGGAGGTGAACTTTTCACAAGGACATGAAAGTACACCCTGTTTCAAATTAGACCAAATCTTATCTTTTGATCCGGATATGAAAAGGTTTGGGAACTCCTTAAATACACAAAAGGATATTAACATCACGGTGAACATTAATCTCATTGCATGTGGCATTCAAATAAGTAAACAAAGCGATAATTAACTGTGTCAGCACCAGTGATTTGTGTCACTTAGTAACTGTGTTGTACCGTTCGTATAATTTTGATGTCTCTTTGTGGTCATTTATTGTCTCTTTTCAGCCGTCTTATGTGTCGTTGTAGTTTTTTTGCCCGTTTGTGTAGTTGTTTCATCAATGCGAGTCTCTTTGCAACAGTTTTGAACAAGGTTTACACATAATTAATGGGTTTCTCTGATAAGAAATCATTTGGTAACACTTATTCTCACCAGGGGTTTTAATAACATACCATTCATTTAAGGTTTTATTTTCCTAACAGGCTATATTTAGCTCCACCATCGCAATAAGAGTTTATCTTAAGAAAACACATGTGGCATTAAAACACAAAGCGACAGATAACTAGCTGTAACTTGATTGATTTGGGTCACTTAGTTATTGTTTGGCTCTGTTTGTATTATTTGTGTGTCTCTTTTTAGTCATTGTGTGTCTCTTTACAGCTGTTATGTTAATCTTTTTTGCAGTTTTGAGTGTCTTTGCATCTGTTTTTTTAATATAACATATTACATTGTGTTTCTCTAATAGGCAATAACGCTGAAAATCTGTCTATCTCCATAATCAAAAACATCAGAGGTGTATTAACACTCATTAGTGGTTTTAAAGGGAAAGTGAACATCTGGCAGCCGGTTAAATACCATTAAATTACCGATGTATTCTCCTTTTTGCTCCACAAACACAATCCTCACATCACAAAACGAGTTTATCCTTAACAAAGCACACGTGGCATTAAATATATGATATAAAAACAGAAGATAATTAGCATTATGAGGATACATCAGTGGCTGCAGCCCGTTTACTTCCTGTGTTTGTGCGGCGGCTCAGTGGAAACACCGGCGTTTGGAGGCTCTAACCTCGGCTACAGACGGCTACAGACGGCTACTCACAGAGACAAAGCTCCACCACGTAGGCATAGTAGGACCAGCAGACCACCGCGGCGATGAAGATGACAGGAATCCATGCTAAAGTCCGCTGACAGCATCTCAGGACGTGAGTGGGCGCCATCTTTACCCTCTGTGTGGGGAAGGGAGTGTCGCGGTGACGTCACGCCTCTGGAAACATGTTTTTTTTTTAGGGGGAAATTAATTTAATTTCAGAAAAACAGCAGTATGGCAACACTATGGATACACACAATTAATATGAATAATACACTTCGTTTATTTTACTTTAAAAAATAATTAAATAGCATCTTTTTCTTCTTTGATTTAATTTAATTTTCCCATTTTATTAATATTATTATTATTATTATTTCTTATTAGTATGGATCATTTTACATTTATTATATACTGAAGAAATTATCTTTTTGTTAGGGTTTTAAATAATGTTTGTCTTTAATAAAACTGTCAAACATATAGAAATATTTAAATTATTATATTATATTTAATTATTGCGTTGACTGGGATCACTTCTATGGGGATCCATCAAAAACCAAACTACTATGGTCATACTGTACCTTGTTTAATTATGTATCAAAAACTGTAAAACATTTTCAATAAAGTTTGGAGAAAAAAATGGTCTGGGAAAAACACGAGTTCATTGTTTATAAAAAGGAGTTTTTACAACTTCTGGTTTGTTATCCAAAAAAAAATACTACTTATGGGTTTCATATCAACATATTTTAATTGTATTTATATGAAGTCATTTCATTTTATGCTTAAATCTGACTTTAGGGGTTAATTTACTGTAAACCTGCCCTCGGGTCAGCACCAGGAAGCAAAATAAACCTTTAGACTCTGAGGCGGACAATAAAGATTAACTGATTTGAGACAAGACAAAGGACACAGGGACCGCAATTGTAGGTGAAATTGATGCTAAAAGTAAAAGTAATCTCCCTTAATCCGTAAAATGACTTCTGTTGACATGCACGTCGACGTTTATTTGTCTCGCATCGGGTTCTCCGGTTCCCCCTCGCGCAGCCTGCACGTGCTGCGGTCGGTGCACACCTGTCACCTGCTGTCCGTGCCCTTTGAGAACCTGACGGTGCACAGCGGGGGGCGCGTGCAGCTGGACCCGCCTCACCTGTATGAGAAGCTCGTGCTGCAGCGCAGGGGGGGGTTCTGCTACGAGAATAACTCCCTGTTTGCATGGCTGCTGACCCAGATGGGCTTCCAGGTGAAGTAGTGGAGTACAAATACTTCGTTTCTTTGCTTAAGTACATGTTTCTGGTATCAGTACTTTACTCCACTACTTATTTTTCTGACGACTTTTGACTTTTACTTCTTCAATTTTGAACCCAAATACCTGTACTTTCTACTTCTCACATTTTGAACCCAAATACCTGTACTTTCTACTTCTTACATGTTGAACACAAATACCTGTACTTTCTACTTCTCACATTTCCCAAACAGGCTGGTTCCTTTAGTTTGAATGTGTGTTTGGTGGCGTGATCATTATTATTTAGAGTCATTGCGTGCCTATTGATTTGAACACGATCCGTGTATCCATCATTTCCTGGTCTTCTCTAAAGAAGAGGGACCAATGAAAACGTTGTCATGTTGCCGTTGTTCAGCATGGAAACATTCATTAGCTAACAATGACATTATTGTTCTATTAATATAAAGGGAGGTCAGGTACTCTTTAAAACAGCTGCTAGTTATGGGTACTTTTTACTGAAGTACATTTCAAAGCCCTCTTTACTTTTACTTGAGTAAAGAAGTTTAGTCAGTACTTCTACTTTCACCAGAGTATTTTTAAACACGAGTATCTGTACATCTACTTGAATAAAGGATGTGTGTACTTTGGCATCTCTCCAGGTGACCCTGCTCTCCGCCCAGGTGAAGAACCAAACAACGGGCTTCTACGGGCCTCCTTTTGACCACCTGGTTGTCATGGTGACCCTGGACGGGCAGCGCTGGCTCTGTGATGTTGGGTTTGGGGGTCCGGGCTTCAGGACCCCCCTCTCGTTGGACACCAGGGGCCCCCAGGAGCAGGGCCACAGAGTGTACCGCATCACAGAGCAGAGGTGGGAAGGGACTGAGTACATTTAAGTTTAAAGGCTTTTATTGTCATATAGGCTATAGCTACAGTGTATATATCAATAATTACAATCAGAACATATAATATATATCATTCTGAAATGGATCAATCTGTATAATAAGTACTTTTACTTACTTTTGGTACTTTAAGTATATTTTTATGCTAATATTTGTTTAACTTTTACTTGAGTAACATTTTGAATGCAGGACTTTTACTGTAACAGAGTATTCTACCATCTGGTTCTTCTACTTTTACTTAAAGGTCTCCTATTATACTGTTTTTCATCAATATATAATAGGTCTCAGATATATACAGAACATGTCTCTGATTGGCTGAAACACCAAACAGATCATTGCAGCATTACCCATAATCCCCTCTGTTTCAGCCCTGTTTCAAAAGTGCTGATTCTCTGTCTGTTACTTTAGATGAAAATAAGGAGCCACTCCCCACGCCCCTCTGAGAGAGATTTGGTTAAAAAGTACAGGAAAGTACTTGGAAGTACAGGAAGTACAGGAAAGTACTTGGTGTACAGGAAAGTACTTGGTGTGAACGCCACCTAGGCTCTAGGAGGAGATTCAGGTGATAAGGTGGGGGGGTACCTTGGTTGCTGATTGGCTAATGGTTACCAGTGGCGAACCGTGTCTATCACAACTGGACCTTCTGTAGACACACACACCCCCCCGCCCCCCAAAACTGTCAATCCAAACGTACGCTCTCATTCAGTGTAAGGGCCAGGGCATTCTATCAAGGATAGAGAATACCTTGTTGAAGGATATTCTACCCAGAGACCCAGAAACATATCTGATTGGTTGCATTTTTTTTCTAACACAAAACCACTGAAATGCGTAGTGCATGGTCCGAGAAGGACAAACAAATCAACATAACACTGTAATATTACAGATCAACAACACTGATACCATTCTCATTTATTCATTTTATTTATATAATTAAATCAATTTTTTGGTTTGTTTTATCTGAGTGTTCCAGGGTATTCTCTGAATACCTTGAAGGCCCTGACGGTTCACCACTGATGGTTACACAAGCCAAAAAATCGTTATGACATCATAAAGTGGCCAAAATCTGATCAGCTCATTTTCAGACAGGTTTTTATAGAAATGGATCAGGACAAAAAGAGAGAGAATCTTTTCTCCTGAAACTTTCAAAGTCTCTTTCCACAGAGGGGACACATGTTGATGTAGAAGAGACATGAAGAAGAGGGGACACATGTTGATGTAGAAGAGACATGAAGAAGAGGGGACACATGTTGATGTAGAAGAGACATGAAGAAGAGGGGACACATGTTGATGTAGAAGAGACATGAAGAAGAGGGGACACATGTTGATGTAGAAGAGACATGAAGAAGAGGGGACACATGTTGATGTAGAAGAGACATGAAGAAGAGGGGACACATGTTGATGTAGAAGAGACATGAAGAAGAGGGGACACATGTTGATGTAGAAGAGACATGAAGAAGAGGGGACACATGTTGATGTAGAAGAGACATGAAGAAGAGGGGACACATGTTGATGTAGAAGAGACATGAAGAAGAGGGGACACATGTTGATGAAGAAGAGACATGAAGAAGAGGGGACACATGTTGATGTAGAAGAGACATGAAGAAGAGGGGACACATGTTGATGTAGAAGAGACATGAAGAAGAGGGGACACATGTTGATGTAGAAGAGACATGAAGAAGAGGGGACACATGTTGATGTAGAAGAGACATGAAGAAGAGGGGACACATGTTGATGTAGAAGAGACATGAAGAAGAGGGGACACATGTTGATGTAGAAGAGACATGAAGAAGAGGGGACACATGTTGATGTAGAAGAGACATGAAGAAGAGGGGACACATGTTGATGTTGAAGAGACATGAAGAAGAGGGGACACATGTTGATGTAGAAGAGACATGAAGAAGAGGGGACACATGTTGATGTAGAAGAGACATGAAGAAGAGGGGACACATGTTGATGTAGAAGAGACATGAAGAAGAGGGGACACATGTTGATGTAGAAGAGACATGAAGAAGAGGGGACACATGTTGATGTAGAAGAGACATGAAGAAGTGGATTTTGCATAATAGGTGACCTTTAAATACAAGCTCTGTTCTCCCACCTGTCAGGAATGAAACTTCAGGGATGCTCTTCCTGGAGTGGCAGCAGGAGGAGAACAGAGGAGAAGATGGAGACTGGACGGAGATCTACAAGTTCACCCTGGACCCTCGCCGCATGGAGGACTACGCAGAGATGTGTCAGTTCCACCAGAGCTCTCCATGCTCTCTCTTCTTCTGCAAGTCCGTGTGCACCATCCTCACCTCCGAGGGGAGGCTCACCTACATCGGCCGCAGACTGACCACCACCACGTTCCCAAAAGAGGGGTCTGTGCTGGAGACCTCCACCAGGGATCTGCAGGACGACGAGATACCCGGCGTTCTCAAGGAGAAGTTTGGAATTATGCTAAAATCTCCGCTCATACCAAAGGATGAGCCGATGACACCACATCGAGTCATCTATTGATCTTCTTCTTGGATTATGAGCAGCATGCTAAAGGCCCCACACATCTGCTTTGAGTCTCTATGTAGTCATTTTGTTGTTCAGAAACCATCATAGACCATCAGGAAATCATCAGAGACCATCAGGAAATCATTAGAAACCATCAGAGATAATCAGAAACCACCAGAAACCATCAGAGATCATCAGAGATCATCAGAAACCATCAGAAACCATCAGAGATCATTAGAAATCACCAGAGACCATCAGAGATCATCAGAAACCATCAGAAACCATCAGAGATCATCAGAAACCATCAGAGACCATCAGGAAATCATCAGAGACCATCAGGAAATCATCAGAGACCATCAGAGATCATCAGAAACCATCAGAGATCATCAGAGATCATCAGAGACCATCAGAGATCATCAGAGACCATCAGAGATCATCAGAAACCATCAGAGATCATCAGAAACCATCAGAAACCATCAGAGACCATCAGAGATCATCAGAGACCATCAGAGACCATCAGAGATCATCAGAAACCATCAGAGATCATCAGAAACCATCAGAAACCATCAGAGACCATCAGAGATCATCAGAGACCATCAGAGACCATCAGAGATCATCAGAAACCATCAGGAATCATCAGAGATCATCAGAGATCATCAGAAACCATCAGAGACCATCAGGAAATCATCAGAAACCATCAGAGATTAAATACAGGAGTTGTTTCTGTTTTTAGTATTTCTTTGTGGTCGTTTTGTCTCTTTTTGCCGTCTTGTGTTTCTTTGTAATTTTGAGTCACTTCCTGGTTGGTGCTAAATTCTCCGCTCATACCGATGACACCACTTCCAGTCATGTATTTTTTTTCTTTACACCTTTGTTATTTTTTAATCTGTTCGAAATAAAGATTGAAATGAAATGAAATGAAATATATGGTTGGATTATGAGCACATGCAAAAGGCATCTCCTTTGTGTCTCTGTGTAGTCATTCTGTGTCCCTATTAAGTATATCCATGTATGTGTAGTCATTCTGTGTCTCTATTAAGTATATCCATGTATGTGTAGTCATTCTGTGTCTCTATTAAGTATACCCATGTATATGTGTAGTCATTGTGTGTCCCTATTAAGTATATCCATGTATGTGTAGTCATTCTGTGTCTCTATTAAGTATACCCATGTATATGTGTAGTCATTGTGTGTCCCTATTAAGTATATCCATGTATGTGTAGTCATTCTGTGTCTCTATTAAGTATACCCATGTATATGTGTAGTCATTGTGTGTCCCTATTAAGTATACCCATGTATATGTGTAGTCATTTTGTGTCCCTTTTATCTGTCTTATGTTTCTTTGTAATTGCTTTGCCCCTTTTTGTAGTCTCAGTGTGGTCGTTGCAAGTGTCTATGCAACTGTTTTGTCAGCCTTTGTAGTTATTTGGATCCCTTTATACTATTTTTGTGTCTCTTTGAAGTCGTTTGGTTTCTTTGAGGTTATTTTTAGTCACTTCCTGGTTGGTACTAGGGGTGTAAATCACAAGTTTCATCACAAGATAGAATGATATCAACAACAAATATGCTGATTTCACAGTCTGCCATGATACAATTTAGATCCAGGTGCCCATTTAACACATTTTCCTCATGTCACAAAAGCAACTAACATTTGATTTGACAATTTTATTACAGGGCACTAGCAGACAAAAAAACCCCGATCTTTCAGTTAGGCGGTGCACTTGGACGGATATGGAGACACAGACGTGCCATGGAAATCTTAAAGTAAAGGTGTTTATGATGATATGCATCTGTTTTCACTTCAATACGAGCCTATTGAATTCATAATCATCGAATTGTAACACCCCTAGTTGGTACGTGTCGCTTTGAGTGATATTTTCTAGAAAAACGTAGGTGAAAAATGTATCTTGTCATTGAGATCTGTCTTTGTTTCATACAAGCTTTTTAACTTTCAGGTTTAAATACAAAACTTCCACACCCAAATCAACCAGTTACAAAACATCCACATTATGCAGTCCCTCGTCTTTAAACACATGCGACAAGAGCAGATCAATTGTCAGTTTGATTTAATAAATTATACATACACTTTTAAGATATACAATGGTCATTGCATTATTCCATATCCGTCTTTCTTTTTTTTTTTAAGACAAAGTCTGCGTTCAAAGTATTTACACATGTACAATTATCAGGCAGCACTTTACAAAGCAAGGCATGAACGACAATGCAGATGTTGAGCTTCAAATCAAACTGCTACCCATCACCCTCATGGGGGGTTTCTCAGCTGTCCCATGATTATAATACATCTTCCCGTCCCTCGAGAGGGGAACTCAAGAACGATATCCATCAGATCCACAGATTGAGGTCCACGGACTGAGGTGAAAATCTAAATGAAGGGTGAAGTACAGGACACAGGATGTACGCAGGGTGACGGGTGCAAACATGTGACAACGAGTGACACATCTACTCTGCGACGGGGATGGGGGGGGGGCGCCGAGGCCGCTCTGCCAGATTTACGCTCGTAGTTGACAAGCCTCTGACCAACCAGGTACCTGTGGAGAGGAGGATCACCGTTATAATCACCTTTAAATTACTAACGGTTTCTTCAGGTGTGTCGACGCTAAACGGTCCTGTAACACTTACTATGTCTAAAATACCCTTTATACATCCCTCACGTACTTGTGTATATATAATATGTATATTTTCTAACATTTCCCACATTGGGATCAATAATGTACTTCTTATCTTATCTCTTATGTTATAAAGTCACATTTTTATAACAATTAATAATGATAATAAGGCAATTTTATGTGATTATAAATTACTTTTAGGGGTCATTGTTGGCTTAAAATAGAGTGAGAATATGATAATGTATTCAATCTTTGGGAATTATAATAGATACGATAAGATCAGAAGTACTTTATTGATCCCAATGTTTGTGTTGCAGCAGCATACAAATACATGGCATTGCACAATACAAATTAAAAAGACTAGAAAATATACATGTTGAGTTTACAAATGAACAATAACAAGATATAAAGCAAGTTATTATATATACATAAGTATGTGAGGGATGGAATATTACATATTAAACTGAAAATATTAATGTAAAGTGTGATTATAACGTATTATAAAATGCTTTAAATATGTTTTTTCATTATTGTTATTAAAAACTATAATTATACAGTGCTATAAGAAGATCATAACGCATTATAAGTATGTTTAAGATAATAGGAAAGATGCTCACTTGTCGTTCTTGATGTGTTCATAGAGGCGTTTGAACTGTCGGATCTGGAAGGACAGGATGCCGATGAGCGAGACGATCATCAGGAGGAACGGGTAGATTCTCCTCTGCATCAGGATCTCCATCTCTGGGGTCACTCCTGCAAAACACATGAGCAATATTTAGTTACAAATGTATCAGTGAACAGCCCATTAGCTAACGCTGTAGACCAGGGATGGGCAAATCCTCTTTTTGCCACCCTCAGATTAATTTATAAACAACGTAATTAAATTTTGTGTACTTGTAGTACTGATACCGTCCACTAGACTCCTAGTTACGTCGCGAGCTGCGTACATGATTTCGTTCGGCAGCCAAATACCGCGAAATAATCTGTGACGCGTTTGTCTGTATTGTGTTTGTTTCCCGGGGAAACAAACACAAGAAACACCGGCTGTTGTTACGCCTGCTGTGACGTTAAGTTGCCGCTTGTAATTATGCCGTTACAAGCTTCAAAGTTGTATTTATCATCTGAATTTGGCGAAACAAGTTTAATATTCTAAAAACCAAGACTCTGTTTAATTGAAATCAGATGAAAACAAACGGTCACGGACCCTGCCCTGTTATCTATGATTACTATACGCTTTTCATTCATAATTTCAGCGGGAGGGAGGGGGGAACTGAGGAACTGAGGAACACTGCACTTCCTCAGTTCCTGCACTGATAACATCTCAAATAGATACATGTTCTAATTGGTTCCTTTGTACACTCACCCACAGCAGGAACCACCCCCGCAGCGATCACATACGGCACGCACAGCGACAGCAGCAGCACGGAGATGACCGGAGCCGCCAGTTTACGGATGATGAACTGCAGGTCGATGTTACGAATCCCATTGGCATAAACCTGAAGAGACGGGACACTTCATTACAATGTGGCGGCTCAATGTCCAGTTACGTTTGAGAGGCTAAGCTCGGCT